CTTAATAGATATTGAGCTACATATAACTATCTGCCTTATTTTTCTTGTTCATATTGAAGGTATATTATTGTTGCTATCTTAATTAGTTTTTCAATGATTGGGTGGTATGCAGATACATTGTACCTAACCTCTAAGTAAATTAGCCTATTTGCTTGTTGCTAATCAATAAATAAAAAATATCATGTAGTTCCAATTTATGTTGTTGGAACTCTTTAATTTGAACGCAACAGTATATTTGACCTACTTTGCTTATGCAAGAGCTTTTCTGTGTTACAACATTCAACCAAACATGTTGTAATTTGGATGTAGTTCGAGCAACATGGGCTCCAACTACTTCTATCAAAACATTAACACACCATAAAGTTTGAAATTAAAGCAAGAGAGCAGAGTATCAATTTAGATATCAGTACTTACAGACATATAGTGGCAGGGCCCAGTAAAAGTATCACGCTGGCCAGAAGAACTTGCCAGTATCACACTCACACCGAAATCAGATATCTTGACTTCCCCTGTGTGTTTTATTAGTATGTTCGATGGTTTCAAGTCTCGATGAATAATGTGCTTCTCATGGTGGAGATAGATTAAACCCTTGAGCACCTGAACAAAGAATGTGGCCTTCTGTTAATGGAATAGTGAAGGAATGGATCGCTCACCAAGATTGAAGTTCTACAAATCAACACTAGCCTGTTTACAAATTGCAGAAAGATATGCCTCTGGAATCGACTTGACTTTCGCTAGAAAATCAGCGAGAGAACCACCATCCATGTATTCTAAAACTATCGATATAACACCGTTATCATAAAATGACTGATAGCATACAACAACAAAGGGGCTCTGTGATGAAAGGTTTATCCTCAATTCTTGTGCAATCTGTCTGCATATATCCTCTTGGATATTCATTTGAATAACCTACATATCAAGCGTTATTTAGAACTCCATTAGAAGAAGACTAGGCAGATAAAATATAATTGTTTTGAGGGACACATAAAATATAATTAATAAGATATTTATGACACAATTCTACAAGACATGATACTGAAACAAGCCTATACTTGCTTGTTGTACTCTTTTTACCAGGTACTTAAATTGTAATATCTAACTTTGTCAAATATCGATTGTCTTGTGTTTGCCTCTAATTTCCGCACATTTTAGTATCATAAGTAAGCACAACTATTCAGAACAGAACTCTTTTATCCCCAGGCAGCTACTTAAATTCTCACTGGGGCCTAAGACAAAACAGGCTTTGGCTAATTCATAGTACAGAGTGAACTATCAATGCATCAAGCAACCAACAAATTTATCACCAACAATTAACTAACATCATCAAGTGCTAAATTGTTTCGGCAGTGCCCTATCCACCTAATAGGCTAGATCAAGCAATTTGATAATCTTGATGACTAAATATCTCTTGATGATTGATGTGTTGTGCATTACAAGAAGTTTATTTTTATTTTACTAATGTTGTACATTATTGAAAGTTTTGTTTTAGTCAAGATATGCAAAATAAGAAAGAAACGCTCCTCGGAAGATCAAATTATTCTTGTAGATCTTTTATAAGAATCTTCAATGAGTGTGTTGAGTATAAATTATAACCCTCAACTCTCACCATAGTTCTGGAGTTTTGGTATTGTGGAAAGCAACCCAAGTTCATATTCCATGTGTCCAAATTTAAAGCGCATTAAAAAAAAAGATATTGTCGTGTGCGTCCAGGTTTCAATCCATCGAATGGGTTCTTAACTTGAAAACACGACAGAGTACAAAATTGTAACCCTTAACCATCACCAAAACTTCAGAGTTGTGGAATGGTCCTTTGATATAGCGTCTATCGCAGCCTTACTGTTCAAAACGAACACAAATATGGTATGATTGAGATGTGAGAATATTAAGACACAATAAAATACAGGTCTGAAAAGTAGCATAAATTCTTATGAACAAACTTATATATGTCAGCGAAGCAATACCTTGAGAGCAAAAAATTGACCTGTCCACTTGTGTCGAACCAGCTGTACAATTCCACCACTTCCCTTTCCTATCACTTTAACAATGTCCATATCAACTAAAGCCAACTGATCGTCCAACGGGTTGATAAGAGGCCGCTGCAGGAAATCAAGCATTAATTGGATCATAGAAAAGAACAACATTACATAAATACATAGATTAAGTCACAGCAATGCCATTAAGACCATTTACAATCACTGCAAGAACGGTTCTTCCCTCAGCAGCCTATTCTTTCACAAGAACAATCAAACTGACCTCGAGAATTGCAGCCATAAAATTGGCTGCAACCTCTTGGTGATTTTCGATTGGAGCCAGACTTGTTAGTGATTTTAGTTCAGGCTCCGGCTCGTTGATAAGAAGGTGGATGAGCAAATCTCGAATTTGCTTAGGATTTTTTCATTGCAATAATACAAATCAGTGATCAGAGGCTTTAGTGCCACAAATGGGGGAACATCTTCACCAAATATCTACATGGATATGATATACGAAGAATATGTGACAACAAAGTCCAGACTCATTTAGCAGATTTCATGCATCAATCTGCCAGTATAGATTGAGATGGCTAAATTGCAGATAACCCCACAATAGAGAGATAGGTGCTAATAAATTTGTTGAGAAGTAATAAGTGCTGCAGAAAGAATAGATGAGGAGATTATTTGACATATATCCTAATATGGTAATCAAGTATCTAGGTGATCTTACACAAATACATATAGGTTAAGTCAAAGAAAAATCTCAGTTTTATGCAGAATTTTTGTGAAAGTGATTTGAATGTCCAAAATCTAATCTTGTGGCGCTATCAAAAATCCATCATGACAGCCTCCTCAAAGTCCAAGATTGTGGCCATATGCATTAGGAGTCAAAGAAAGTGACTCTTTGGCCACGTGAAAATGTGATAATGATTGCTTTAATTGTTAACAATTGTGTCTAGCCTCATAATTCTCTTCATAGCCCATCTATTCATCATTAGCCTATCTATTCACCGACGGAGACTTATCATTCCATCAACAGTGTTGAGAGGCTAAAAATTGCCTCAACAAGCATGGTGAAATATTATCAGGACAGAGAAAAAGAAAGAGAGGCGTTAGAGTGAAGAAAGAGACAGAGAGAGTTATTTCCTTTCTTTGTGTGATTCTCTTGTGGGGTTGAGTGAGATTACAGAGTAATTTCTTTTGTAATCTTCTCTTTTATGATTAGTAAATTCCTCTGCTATTCTTGCCCTTAGATGTAGGTTATACTGACCGAACTATGTTAAATAATTGTGTGTTGTTCAGTCTCTATTGTGCTTACATAGTACTGTATTATTATCCACTTTGTATAGATATCTTCTGTGTTTGTGAAGCCCCCTGCTGTAACAAACTGATATCAAAGCTTCAGTTTTATTCTTGTGGGCTTCAAGTTGTCTTCTATAAAATACATAGTGGAGAAGTTCGACGGGGGGAAACAATTTTAGTTTGTGAATAGTCGAAATAAGGGCTCTCCTAGTACAACAAGGATTGTTCAAAGTCTTGTCCAGAAAAAATACGTTGTCAAAATTCATACCCAATGATGAGAAAGAAGAGCAAAATATGAAGACATGTAGTGCCATACAACTCTGTTTAGTTGACGAGGTCTTGTAGGAGGTTGCCGATGAAGATACCGCCGCTGGTCTGTGGCTCAAATTAGAAAGTTTGTACATGATGAAATCTCTAACTAACAAGCTTTTCTTGAAACAATACCTCTTCAACCTTCGTATGAATGAATGTATGAGAATTAAAGACCACTTAAACGAACTTAACGGTATTCTTTTGGACTTAAAGAATATTAATGTTAAAATTGATGAAGAAAATCAAGCCCTTATTTTATTATGTTCGTTACCTCACTCCTTTGAGAATTTTGTTAATAACATGTTATATGGTAGAGATACACTTTCTTTGGAGAATGTCAAATCAACCTTACATTCGAAAGAATTGAGGCAAACTAGGAGGAAAGGATCAAGCTGAAGCCTTGTTCATCCATGGTCGTCCTGAAAAGGGTGTCGGTGATAAAGGTAAATTTAGAAACATGTCTAGATCAAAGTCAAGGACAAGAAAAAATGTTAAATGTTATTACCGTCACCAATTTGGGCATGTAAAACCTAATTGTCCAGCGCTCAAAGTAAATGATGATTCTCAATCGAAATCTTAGGAGATAAAACCTTCAATTGCCACTGTAACTGAAGAGTCTCCTAGTTCACACGAAGCTCTTTCAGTTAGTGTTAATACTCGTTTACAAGATGAGTGGGTTCTTGACTCGGGTTGTTCCTACCATATGCGTCCTCGTAATGATTGGTTTGTCACATATTAGTCTATTGATGGCGGGAATGTCTTATTGGGAAATAACATGCATTGTAAGACTGTTAGTATCAAGTCAATTAAGATTAGAACACATGATAATATTGTTAGAACATTGAGTAATATCCAATATATAGAGAGAGCTCGATGCATGCTCTCTAATGACGGTTTGTCAAAAGACTTTTGGTCTAAGGCAGTCAATACAGCATGCTATTTAATAAATAGATCTCCTTCTACAGCAATTGATTTTAAGACTCTAAAAGAGGTATGATCTGGTGTCTCTGCTAATTACTCCTATGTAAGAGTATTTGGTTGGTTTGCTTATTTTCATATTAATGATAGTAAGCTTGAACCTAGAGTAGAAAAGCTATCTTTCTAAGATATGCTACTGAAGTGAAGGGATATAGATTGTAGTGCTCTAATCTTAAGTCACCTAAATTTGTTATTAACAAGGATGTTACTTTTAATGAGAAATCTATGTTTCACTTGAGAAAGGAGTTTGTTATTGATACTATAGGTACTGCAAAGGAGTCTAGCAAGCAGGTGGACTTAGGGAACTCCACTTCAAAGGAAGTGTTTGAGGGCGCTTATGTTGAATCAGTTGATACTGCTAAATGTTCAACTTCAGATGCTAATACACGGAAAGAGAAACAATACAATATTGGCACTAAGAGAGCAAAAAGGTAGATCAAACCTCCTTAACGATATGCAGATTTGGTTGTTTACACTTTGAGCATAGCAGAATCAATTAAAATTCTAGAACCTTCTTCCTACAAGAAGACTATTAGTGACAGTGAGGCTGCAAATTAGACCGTTGCAATGACTGAAGAGATTGAGCATTTCACAAGAACTAGACATTAAAGTTAGTGGAGACACCAAGGGGATAAAAAATCGTTGGCTGTAAATGAGTCTTCAAGAAGAAAAAAGAACTCTGGATACATATTCTATAAGATACAAGGCACGCTTGGTAGCTAAAGGCAACAATCAGACTGAAGGGGTAGACTTCGATGAAATATTCTCTCCAGTTGTAAACCACACCTCAATCCACGTGTTACTTGTTATGATTTCTCATTTTAATTTAGAGCTTGAGAAACTTGGTGTGAAGATGGATTGTCTACATGGCGAGCTTGATGAAGCAGATTTTTATGCATCAACAAGAGGGGTTCGTTGTTGAAAGTAAAGAAGATCATGTGTGCATGTTAAAAAAACTATTTATGGGTTGAAACAATTTTCAAGGCAGTAATATTTAAGATTTGCTACTTTCATGTTTGAGCATAGTTACTCTACAAGTAAATATAATAGTTGTGTTTATCATAAAAAACTTAATGATGATTCTTTTACATATCTAATTTTGTATGTTGACATATTTATTACAGCCAAAGATATGTTAGAAATCAACGACAATTCAAGTATGAGTTTAAGATAAAAGACTTAGGAGCAGCGAAGAAGATTCTGGGGATGGAGATCTATAGGAATATACAAGAAGAAAATTTATTTCTATGTCAGGAGAAATACATCAAGAAGGTGTTGAAGAGATTTGGTATGCTTGATGCCAAGATTGTGAAGACTCCACTTGCTGCTCATTTTCGTCTTTCAGCAGATTTATCACCTCAGACTGAAGAGGAGCAGTACATGTCTTGTGTTTCTTATGCCGGTGCAATAGGAAGTATTATGTATGATATGGTCTACACTCATCTAAATATTTTACATACAGCCAGTGTTGTGAGTCGGTATATGGATAAGTCTGAAAAGGTCTATTGGCAGGTTGTGAAATGGATATTTAGATATTTGAGAGAATCTGATAATATTGATTTATATTTTTTTCAAGAAGGCAAATTCAGATTATAGTATACTTAGCTATTCAGATTCAGATAATGCGGGTGATTTGGATAAGAGACGATCTCTAACATATTATGTATTCACTCTTTTAGGTAGTGTCATTAGTTAGAAGATGACTTCACGGTCAACAGTTGTTTTGTCTATCACAGAGGTAGAGTATATAGTAGTGACAAAAACAATGAAAGAAGCTATTTGATTGAGAGGTTTGGCTGAAGATCTCGACTTACACTAAGATGTTACTATGGTGTTTTGTGACAGTCAAAGTGATATAGATTAGACAAAACATTAGATGTATCATAAAAGAACAAAGTATATAAATGTCAGGTATCATTTTATTAAAGAAATTAAAGTTATAAAGATTGAGAAATTTGATACTGCAGACAACCCGACAGATATGATGATGTGATGATGAAGCCCGTGCCTTCGTGCAAGTTCGAGCACTACCTCGAACAACTTGGAGTTCAACACATCGGAGGTTAAGCCCGTCAAGGACTTCTGGCGAGACATTAAGAGTGAAGAGAAGAATTATCACATTCAAGTCAAGATGAAAATTTGTAAAAGTGACTTAAATGTCCGAAGTCCAATCCTGCGACGCAATCAAAAGTCCATCATGATGACGCCCCCAAAGTCCAAGATCGTGGCCATATGCATTAAGAGTTGAAGAAAGTGACGGTTTGGCTATGTGAAAATGTGATTCTGATTGCTTTAATGTCAACATCTGTGTCTAGCCTCAAAATCTTCTTCATAGCCCATCTATTCATCATTAGCTTAACTATTCACCGACAAAGACTCATCATTCCATCAATAGTGTTGAGAGGTTATAAATTGCCTCAAAATACATGGTAAAAGATTATCGAGACAGCGAAAAAGAAAGAGAAGAGTTAAGAGGGAAGAGAGAGACATGGAGAGAGTTATTTTCTTTATTTCCGTGACTCTGTGATGGGGTTGAATGAGATTATAGAGTGAACTTCTTTATAATCTTCTCTTTTATAATTGGTAAATTCCTCTGCTGCTCTCGTCCGTAGATGTAGGTTATACTAACCAAACCACGTTAAATCCTTGTGTGTCATTCACTGTGTCAACTGTGCTTACATAGTACTGTACTATTATCCACTTTGTATAGGCATCTTCTGTGTCGGTGAAGCCCCTTGCTGCAACAAATGGTTATAATGCACATCAGTGGTAAAAAGTGAAGACTTTGTGATGAATACATGAACACATAGATTTCTGTATGAATTTGCTAAGGGAAGTTCTCGCTTTCTCAATTCCTGGGAAACGTATGTGACCAAGTAGGAGAAGCTCTCCTTTTTCCTAGCTTGGTACTTCAAGAGAGGCATTCTTTCACCCGGAATACCTAGTCCTTATAATATAGAAGCATTGGGCATCCCGTTCCATCAGTAGTATTGAGTTAATGTAAGACACTACCTGTCTATGGCTAGTCTTACACTCTGTGATGAATTAGTAACTTATGGCGCTGTGCAGAGGGAGATCACTTCCCAGCTTATTACTAGCACACTGAAAGGGGAATCCACATATTCATTGCCAAGTCCATTCTTTTGAGATTCAAAAGGAAGTGTCTCGAAGAGGATCTCTCTGTCTCTCTCCCAAAACAAGGCTGTAGCGACTCGCTTTGGGCGAGCCCTATCATCTGCAGAAGCGAAACTAGTGGTGGGTAAAAACGTAGCATATTTAACATGGAATCTAACCTATCAACAGAAGCAACATTGTCTAATTCATTTCCCACAGGGATCAACAAGATTGTACTCTCCTTCCCATCTTTGAAAGCAAAATTTTGGTAATCTGCTATCGGATAATCAGCTATTGTCAAAGCTTTTGGATGGGAAAGTGACCATAGCAGTGCGTGCAGGATTCAATTGATTCGCTGCCTTCACCTATCCTGAAAGTCCTATAAATGAAGACTCAGGCCTGTTTCAATGAAAACCTCGATGAAAGCCCACGGAAGGGCCAGAGCAAGACAAGCATACCCATCACCAAAGCAAGCCCAAGTCCATGCAAGAAGTCCGGCTGGATCTGTCTCAATTCAAAGACCGTCGAGGGCACATGAAATCATGCGAAGGATCCAAGCCCCCATCCAAAAGATGTTCAGCGGTCTAAACCCAAGTAGTTGTGGCCCATGATCCAGAGGACCTGCAACCAGTCAATCATGCTATCCTTACCTTCCAACCAATTACATTTTGCCTCCCTTGACTAGCACCGTCGGCCCTCTTTATTTCAATCTCATCGTTAGTCTCCTAAGAATCAAAATTTTCTTTGCACTTCTGCCATCTTATTTTGAAGCTTGACAATTATACGCTCATATTTGCTCCCGAAAAAAGGTAAGAATTTCTTGCCTGTTTCTCGGGCTCTTTCTTGAGATTTGAATTTGAAGCTTCGTAAAGCAAACTCTTTAATAAAGTTAGGTTTAGACACTAATGTATTCAAAACCTAAAAAATTTCCTACATTTTCTTCCTTTCAACTTCTAAAACATGTGAATTTTAAGAAAAATCCAATGAGGGCTCAGGGTTTATGATATCTCCTCTTACCTCTCCCTCTTCGCCATGGGAAACAATCCGAAGCCCGTCCTTGTTCACCAGCAAATCTCCAGCCTTGAAAGTCCCACTCTGAGTCCTAACAAAAAAACAACTCAAAATTTAAAAAATGTAGAAAAAAAATAGAAAAAATAATACGAGAAAAAAGGAAGAAGAAAAGAAAATTACAGGAATTTCTCGATGGAGGTCTCACGAGGGGGGAGAGCGAGCTGGAAGGGCTTAGGGTTTGGCCGGCCCCTTCTCATCTCGGCCTGACCTCTGCTAGGGTTCCATTTGAGAAGTTTGGGAGTCCTCGGCGATTAAAAGGGGCAACTTTTTGCCGGGGACTTTGAATTTTACGCGGAAATTTGAGGTCAACGTCTGGACACGGGGGGGCTGAAAGTAGGTGCTACTGTGGAACTAGCTTTCCAGTTTCCACCACGTGCCGTTCACATCTATGCTTGGTGGGTTTCGATATTTGTCCCCCAAATCTTCTATAGTTTGAAATTAGCTCCCCAGATTTTCATACTTCAAAATTAGTACCCCAACTGTTTAGTTATTTTGCAATTAGTCCACCACATCTTCATATTATTAACTTAGTCCCTCAAATCTTCTAAGTGTTTTAATAATAGTCCCTCTAGTTAGCACTATATTGAAAGATTCGGAATACTTAACACATTTAGGGGTTGAATTTTAAAATATGATGATTTAGGGGACTAATTCAAAATACTTAAAGAAAATCTTTGAAAAGTCACACAACTTTTCGTCGACCCCACTAATTCGATTCAATAATAACTTAAACCATGAACTATCTCAATATTCTTCCCATTAATATCCATCACTTGCATATGACTCACCTCTTCATGTAACTTGTCATCAATCTCATTTCTTTTCAAAGGCAATGGCCCATGAGTATTGGTTTAGCATTAATATTTGACCAATCACTACCATAAAAAAGACATGAACGCCAATAAAATTTTAGGTATAAAAGGTTGACATAACAAGACTAATAAAGGTAAGGTTGACAAATATAAAATATTTCCTTATTTATGAAATTAACTTCCATGGGATTCATGCAAAGAATCTAAATATAGTGTACTTATTCATCTTTTACCTTTTCTTTCTGTTTATACTTTTCCTTAATATTTATAATCTTTTAAAATTAATCTGAGCATGTCACATTGAATTAAGTTTAGAATGATGTTTCCTAATCTCACAAGGATAGCAGGAATAAAACATCTCAAGGGACAAATAGTCAGAGATTTGCACATTGCATGCAGGGCCGCCCCTGGGGTAAGCCCACCAAGCCCCGGGGTTGGGGCAACCCAGGGCCGGGGGGAACCAAACCTCGGATACACATGAAGATAGGGAGAGGAGTCAAAGGAGGAGAGGTCGTCATGGGGCAACCTAGGGGGAGGACACTACAAATAAAAAAGAGACCAGAAGATAGAATATAAAATTCTTCCTCTCCGATTTTGGATTTTTCTCTACCAACAAAAAAGAGACCATAAGATAGAATATAAAATTCTTCCTCTACAATTTCGGGTTCATCTTTTTACCAAGAAGACGTAACCTACCAATAACCTCCGAATCAAGGTCTTTTATGCATGGGGGGACGTTATCTCGATCTCTTATTAGAGATAAGTCTACGTCTAACACACGTTGTCGGGTGGTACATTCCCGTAAAAATGACCAAGTCTACGTATTCAATAGACGACGATTATTATTAAGTTAATAACCTTCGAATCCATATCTTTTATGCATTGGGGATGCTATCTCGATCCCTTATTAGAGATAAGTCTACATCTAATACATGTAGCCTACATATTCAACATTGTAGTATAAAACCTAAGAGAGTTTAATTCTTTTAGCCAAACGTTATATGTAAAACGGATTTAGATAATTCATATACTAGCCCGACTCAAACAGTAGTCGATAAAGGCACATCAAATTTGTTGATGGCTGAGGGTTTGCCAAAAATCCTATGAATGTTATGTTTATTTATTCTAAACAAGAATGAATAATCATAATAAGATTTTAATAAACAAAAGAGTCCACTTCATTCATAAAAAAAAAAATTGAAAAGAGGTTCCAATAAAAACAAGTGTCATTACAAGAAAAATGTCCCTAAACTAAAGACAATTTATAATTGCGGATATGTTCTGCCACTTTAGAAAGCTCTTCCGCATAAGCCTGTTTAAACTCAGTTGTCAAGCTGGCCTTTAAAGAATCATCGCTGGTGTTCTAAGCCTTGAGGACTTCATGCTCTGTATCAGTAAGCTTTTTGTTCTGGAGCTCCAGTTGTTTGAATAAGTCTGCTTCAACACGTTCCGCCTCAGATAAATCAAGTTCTAAAATGCCCTCAACATCCTTAGCCTCTGCAAGTGCCTTTTCTAAGCGGGCTATCTCAGCCCGACGTGATTCTAAAGATTAGAACAAATCAGCCTTGGCTTTCACCTTCTTAGCGATGCTCAATCTCATTTGGGTCACACGGTTCCTTAATCGTTGAAGTTCAAGTTCAGCCAATTTTTGCGAATTATGCCATGCCTGCAATTTTAGGTTAATCCGAGCCGCAACATAAGAAGAGATACCGCTGATCTGAAGATCCTTCAAGTATTCAACTTGTTGTTTCAGATGAACCAGATAGGCTTCAATGGAATCAGCCAATTCGGGATATCCATCTTCTCTAATTCCCGACACATGTCGATCGAGTGACCTCCTAAAACCGTCAAAGGATGACCCTTGATGAAGAATTCGATCAATTATAAGGTTCAGGCAATAGACAAAACATTGGACATCTGAATAGATAAAGGCCTTGTCCGGATCCTTATCAGACGTTAAAGCTTTGATGAACTCAAGTAATGATGAAGGAGGCATTACAATAAGAGAAAAGAAAATAAGTGCTCGAAAGAATAATTGAATTAATATTCGAGACTTAGAATCTAAAAGCAATGGTAAACTAAAATGTACCAAGTCTAACAGGAGAGCCTTCAGCATGGCTTTCTCGCCCCGATGATATTAATTCGGCTTCTTGAGTAACTAGGGCTTTCTCAGGAATAGCAACCATCAACCCACCCGCTACATCAGCTGACGGGGCAGCC